TTCCATCTGTTTTATGACACCAGGGACTGCTAAAATTTGTCAAGTGTTACAAACAGAAATGAATTTATAATGCAGAACAACTCTGTGAAGAACTGGGAAACAATTTTTGCAGTACGCATCAAAATTAAAACACAAAAAATTGAAAATAGAGTATAACACTTTGTATTAAAAATTTCAAATCTTCCGTTATAATATGCGACACTATGTTCTTTGCTGATATAAACAAAGTTAATACCATCCATTTATCATAAAAATTGTGCTAGATACAGCATTTTTAAACAACGCTTAAAATTGATTACCCGCCTAACAGGAACGGACATTTAAACGCAAGGGAGCAACGGGCATTTAAACGAGCACCAGCAGCGGGCATTTAAATAAACTCCGGCCAGCTCAAGTTTACCACTATTTTGAAGTCAGGCGTTTAAAGGTTAATATATTGTGGCAACTGATTTAACATACGAAGTCTAATATTATTGAAATTGTTTTTGTATAGAATCATATTACATGGCACTATGAACAAGTCATCTTTTCTCCTTGTAATGTGCGAGTGTAGTCCTGAATTGTTTATGAAAACATTCAAATTGGTTTTTATGTAAACTAGAATTTCATATATATATACAGACATGGTAAAGGTAATATATGTAATGATTTAAAATATTGTTTACAACTAATAGTTTTTGGGATTTGCTCTAATAGCTCTCTTCTGCAACCTAAAGATCAATTTTGCATTTCCTGAATTGCCCCAGATTATCAATCCATATAATAACAAGGATTTAAAATAAGCATAATATAAGGTGCGAACAGTCTCTAACCCTGATACTCTTTTGACTACTCATAAGGCAAAACATATTTTACATTGTTATATTTTAGCGTCCTGTTGCACTGATTTAAGTCCATGATTTATTTAAACCGTCTTGCAGTGCATACACTTATTTATCTCCTTCTCTCCCTCGCACTACATGTTTAACACACGCAGTCACAGGAGCAAGACATAACAAAAGCACAACACACACAAGATAGTGAAGGAGTGCTCCAACAGAGGAGAATGGGCGTGACTGACGTAGTGATGTGCGACGTAGCGATGTGGTATCCTGAACAATTTTAATATTTTAACGTTTGACAATGTATATGATAAATACATATTTTAGTTATTTTAATATGAGAACAAGGCATGCAATGAACTGGTTTGGCGTAGATAAGTAAGCACCTGAAGATGGCATTATTATGCCGAAACATGTAGTGCGAGGGAGAGAAGGAGATAAATAAGTGTATGCACTGCAAGACGGTTTAAATAAATCATGGATATTTTACATTATTTATTTGCTAGTTGTTGAGTATGTGCAGACCACCTTAGATTTTTATCCAACCAAATTCCCAAAAATTTTGTATGTTCTGTATAATTGATGACTCTATCATAGAGCTTTAGTGATGGGCATTCGACTTGCACTTTTTGAGGTTGATGAAAGGATTTTGCTATTGTTTTTCTTTATTAATAATTAGTATGTTCCTTTGAAACCACTCTGTGAGTGCATTTATTGTTTTATTTAGTTTCCTTTGGACATCATTAGCTCTGTTTCCTGCTATAAGAATACTAGTATCGTAGGCAAAACACATTGGTCTTCCATGTTCAATACCAGCTTCTATATCATTGCTATATATGGACTATATGGATATGTTCTGTATCTGAGGCAATATCGCCAAGTGTAAATCTTGTGAACAAATAAAAAATGAATGAATGAATATATAGCAAAAACAACACTGGTCTGAGAACAAAACCTTGTGGGACTCCATGTCTTATGGGTCTCTTTTGCGATAGACAGCAAGTGATTTCATTAGTTTCTTTACATCTGTTACTCTGTCCAAAAAGTATCCAACCTTGGGCAAGGAAAAAAAAGTTCTGTATCTGGGTGGTTACAATACCGAATCACCTTCATAGTAGGCCCCTTGTGACTCCTCACACTTAGCCCAGCGGTCCTTCCATCGCTGGAAGCAATTCTGGAAGGCTTCTTTTGGAATGGCGTGCAGCTGCGCCGTCGCGTTCTGTATGTCCTCGCGGCTGTCAAAACGGCAGCCTTTTAGTGGTGTCTTCAATCTTGGGAACAGCCAGAAATCACAAGGAGCCGTGTCAGGAGAGTAGGGAGCCTGGTGAACCTGCAGAATGCCGTGCTTGGCCAGGAAACCCTGGATCAGGTGTGATGAATGAGCTGGGGCGTTGTCATGATGCAGCTGCCAGTTGCGTGCATCTCACAGCTCTGGTCTCTTGCACCGAACTGCATCACGAAGATGGCGGAGGACTTCTTGGTAGTACTCCTTATTGACAGTTTGGCCTAGTGGTGCGTATTCATGATGCACAACATCCCGGTAATCGAAGAAAAGAGTCAGTGTCACCTTCACATTGCTCCAAACCTGTCGTGCTCTTTTGGGCCTCGGGGATGTTGGATGCTTGTCCTGCGTGACCTCAAGCCGGAGTTGTTGCTGCTCCGGCGAAAGCAGCTTGGGCACAAATTTTGTCGCCATTCTTTGCATGCCCAAATCCTAAGTTAAAATTGTGTTTGCGGAACCTCAGCTGATCCCAACCGCATCAGCAAGTTCATGGATGGCGATACGACGGTCCTCCATGATCAGTGTCCGCACTTTTTCAATGACATCAGCATTTCAGCTCTTTGACGGTCTCCCAGAA